ACCTGCTCCGACGGGCTCCGCGCTCTGCGCCTGGTCCGCGGGCCGCGGGAAGGCGGCGGCGGGGGGGGCGGCGGAGGCGGCCCCCAGCCCCAGCAGGTGGGGAGTGTTCAGTAAGGCCAGCGGGTGCGGGGGGTGGTGGTGGTGGTGGTGGTGGGCCGGGAAGGCGCGGTTGGTCCAGTTGGGGAACTTGCCCAGGGGGCAGGAGGAGACGAGTCTGTGGGGCGGCGGGGTGGGCAGCGGCAGCGGCTGGGGGGCGGCCGCCGGCGGAGAGCCGCCGCCGGGAGACTTGCGGGGGTTGTCCGGGCTGGTGGCGGTCTCGGCCAGCGACCAGATCTTGGGTTTCGGCAAGGAGCCGGCCAAAGCGCCGTCCGTCGGGGAGGAGGCGGCGGAGGAAGAGGCAGACGAGGGGGGCGAGAGGTGGGGCGGCGGCGGCGGGAGCGGCGGCTTGAGGGGCTCCGGGCCCACGGGTGCGGCCGTGGCGGGCAGCTCGCACTTGTGGTGGTGATGGTGATGGTGGTGGTGGTGCAGGTGGTGGTGGCGGAGGTGGTGCGGCTCCCCCTCGGAGGCCTTGTCGTAGCGCTCCTCGGAGCCGGGCAGGTCCTCAAAGCCTTCGGATCCCTCCGAGTCCGTTTTGGAGTCAGAGTGCAGGAGGTCGGCATCCTGTAGATCGTCCTCGAGCTCGTCCTTGTTGCTTTCGATATTCTCTGTGTCGATGTTCTCGAGGTCGATCTCCTCCTCGTCCTCCCTCTTGTCCTCTTCCCCCTCGTGGTCGCTCCCGTAGGAGTTGCCCTCCTCGTCCGTCCTGCTGCGGGGGGCCCAGGTCATTTTGTTCTCCTTCTTGAGCCTCCGCCGCGCGTTGGCGAACCAGGTGGAGACCTGGGTGAGGGTCATTTTGGTGATGATGGCCAGCATGATCTTCTCGCCCTTGGTGGGGTAGGGATTTTTCCGGTGCTCGTTGAGCCAGGCCTTGAGGGTGCTGGTGCTTTCCCGAGTGGCGTTCTTGGGCCGCGACGGGTCCCCGAACTGGTACTGCCCGTAGGGATAGAAGGCAGGGTGGTGGGGGGGGAAGGCGGCGTGCTGCACCCCCGGGCTCTCCTTCAGCTCGTACTGGGCGCCCTGCAGCGAGAGGGAAGGGGCGGCCCGGCTGAGATGGCGCGCCGGGCCCGGGTTCGCTCCGTCCCGCTGCGCTTACCGGGAACGGAGCCCGTCGGCACCGGCGGGGCGGCCGGGCCGCGCTGCCTCCCCCACCGCGGAGCGCCCCGGTGCCGGTCCCGGGCACGCTGCGGCCCCGGCAGCCCGGGCCCCGCCGATGCCTCGGGGGCAGCACCGGCTCCCCACTCGCGTGTGCTCGGCAGGGCCGGCGGCCGCGGGGGCCGGTCCCCGCCACCATCAAACCCCCGGCCGGAGCGGGGGGACGCTGCGGGGCCGCCGCTCCAGCCCTGCCGCTCTCCGGCGGCTCTCCCGGCCAGGGAGGCGATAGCGCCCGTCTCTCTCTCCCCTGACAGCCCTCCCGGTGTCTCCCCCGGCTCCCCCCGGGCCGATCCTCGGCGCGAACCGAGCGCCCCGGGGAGCGAGCGGCGAGCCCCGGGGGCCTCTTACCAGCTGGGGGAAGATGGGCAGCTCTGCGGCGTAGGGCAGGAAGGCTCCGTAGCCCTGGGCGGCGGCGGCGGCGGCGTAGGGCGCGCCGTACATGGAGGAGAGCACGTTGGAGAGGGTCCCGGACGGGGCCAGCTCGGCGCCGCCGCGGGAGCCGCCGCTCCCCGGGCGCTCCGCCGGGTAAAGCGGCCTGATGTACTGGTAGCCCAGCTGGGGGAAAGACATGGTGGGGGAGCGGGGCAGGGGAGGGGGGAGGAGGAAGAGGAGGGGGGGGAGACGAGAGGAAGAAGGGAGAGAAAGGGGAGAAAGTAGCAGGGCCGGGAGCGGAGGAGGGAGCCGGGTCGCTCGCCCTCGCCGGCCGCCCGCACTTTCAGCGCCTCCCGCAAACTCCGGCAGACATGGGGGGGAGCCGGGGGTGCGCGGAGGCCGCGGGCTCCCTCCTGTCCTCGGCCGCCGCGGTAAACGATCCGATCGCTTCTTTCTTCTCTCACTTTTCCTATTGATCTGAGTGGACCCAGGTCAGGTCCTAACAGATTGCCTGAGATTATTGGGACTCTGGGCTCTGATTGACATTTCTAGTCTCTCACAAGCCCCTCCTATTTCTTTTAAGTCTCTCTCTCCCTCTGCCTCCCTCTCTCTCTCATGCCCAGAGCTCGCTCTCGCCGGGTTTGTCACTAGCTGCTTTTTCCCCCCCCCCTTTTTTTTTTTTCCTAAATCTGTTTACTGACGTCGCGATCTTTTATTTGAGTTGCTTTCAAATCTCGTTTTAGCGATCGCCAATCAGTTGTGTGTTTTACAAAGGTTTAACCCTGCCTCATGGTATTCTAATTATATGGAGATAGATTTAGATATAATTTCTTTCGTAGCCCCCCCCCCCCCCCTCCAGCGCGTAGGAAGCCGGGGTGTCATTTATGAGCAGTACACGAGAGGGACAGGGAAAAGTTGGGACATTTAAAAATAAAGGCTCACACCAACACCGTCCCCCAGTTCCCCTTTTTTCCCCTTTTCAGGTTTTAGTATTTACAGCGTCTCCTTGTCCAGATTAATTTTCTTTTTTTTTTATTGAGATATTCCCTTCCCCCGCTCCGGCCCTTGCGAGAGTTACATCTTCTAAAACAGATTTAAAAGTCTATTGCATTTTTTAAAATTTGCATTTCCAGAACTACCTTAAAATTTTTCCTAATGTGTTGGATCTTTAAGGAGTTCTCTACATTTTGCCTGGACTAACAGTGCGCAGATACAGTGGAAAAGCTAAGTTAATTTTCCTCCTAATAAGGGACTTCAAAGAGTTGTAGGTCACAATTTTACATCAAAGGCAGAAAAGAAGGCAAATTAAAATCTTAACAAAGGAGAGACGGGAGCAGCCCTCTGGGCCATTAGTAAATAAGTGGTGTGAAAAAAGGGACAATGACAGGCACTGGAATTAAACTCATTAACACCTTTTTGTCTTGGTGCGAAATCTCTAATTAGGAAATTTATGATCATTTTGCTTATTCCCTCTGTTCTGAATCACTACAAGGCTAAGAAGGAAGTACCTGGTACGTGCAACATTTGCAAAGGGAGCAGTGGCACGGGTTTGTAAAGAGCTATTGGGAAGGAGTCAAGATACGGTTTAATTACAGATAGGGTTTGGGGTTTTTTATGATCCACACATTTTAAATTACGGTTTGTATTTTGTTATTGATGTTGTTGTTGCTGTGCCCCCCTCCCCCTTTTCCTTTTCTGAAACCAGCGTGAGTTGCAATTTAGCCTTTTAAGAGTAGTTAAAATACAGTTCAATCACGGCGCGTCTTTGGCAAGCGCCGGTGTGCCCTGCTCCGCTGCTGCGGGCAGAGGAAGAGCCTGGGCTGGAACCTAAAAAGTTCACACAGCCTGTGGGGAGAGGAGACCTGAACCTGCCAGCGTTATCTGCCTTTTAAAGTACTCGGTCTTTAAATAAAACAAAAAGTTTGGAAGATCTTTTGAGGAGTTGTGGCTGAATGCGAGCCGTTTAACCGTATTCCCCTCTCTTCCTAAATACTCTCTGGATTTATTGCCTTTAAAATATGATTTAGGTACAATATAACCACTGTGCCCACAGTATGGATTTTTATAACTACATTTCTTTAAAAATGAAATTCATGTCAGATTATGCAGTTAAAGGAATCGACCTTGATAGCTTGCTATAATAAAACTGTATCAGCTTGTAATAAATGCGGATTATAGCAAAGCAAGCTCCAGAATTAAAATTCCCTGAATCAATATATGAAAATCTGTAGGAAACATCTCTAATCGTATTAAGTTCATCTTTATAGCATTTCCTATCTGCTAATCTAGTGCAAAAACAACTCTGGGTTGGAGGAATTTATTTTCTTCTATTCAACATTGGTGCTTTTGATAGTACAAAGCAAGGGAGATAAAAATATTAAAATCAGTTATAGGTTTATTTCTTTTTTACTCTAAAGGAAAACAGGCAGCGAACGCCACGTCCTGATGTGTTTTAAACTTTTCTGTAGAGGCAGCGCCTGCTGGGGCGACGTGATACCGAGGGGATCGGGGGAGAGTTTGGGTGCAGACCACAACTTTTTAAAATATCTACTTCGGAGAGAAAAGGGGCGGATATGACCCTCGGGATAAATCCGTAGCCGTTTGAGGCTGTCGTGCTCGCCACTCTGGTGTCACAGTCGGGCTGTGCCCCCCACGCGCGGGTGCGGGGGAACACGCGTGTCCCTCAAAACTGGACCCGTCTTTTTGTGGCTGCGCGTCTGGCGTGGAGTATCAAAGCTGGCGGGATTGTTTTCTGATTTTTAATCAACAGCACAATCAATATGAGTTGGTCCCCGTGGGAGCCGATCGCAGTGGCGGGCGGTGCTGGTGTGGGGACGGCCGGGGGTGTCCCCGGAGCCGGGAGGGGCTACCGCGGGTAAGTGGCGGTGGGCAGCCGAGAGAGAGACACGGGAGGAGAGAAATTTATGGGTGAAATGGACCCAGGTCAGGGTGAGGGTGAGGGATGGTTTATTAATGAGAAAGAAACTGAGAGGGAGCATAGCTGTACCGAGTGGAAAGGAGGAGAAATCTGTAGGGATGCCGTTCTTGGCTGAGAGGGAGGGAAAAGAAAGCGGAGAAGACAACAAACGGTGGGGAAGGGCAAGAGGAAAGGAGACGTCTTCCCGAGCTGCGGGAGCGATGCCCACGGCGAGCGGCGCCGCACGCCTCCGGCAGCGGGAGGGCCGGCGCGGGACGGGACGAGCGCGGGACCGGAGGCGGCTGGAGCCGGGCGCGGAGAGGAGCGCGGCACGGCAAGGCGGGCGGGAGGCGGCGACGAGAGCCGAGCGGGGAACGGAGAGCAGCGCCTTCCCCACGGACGAGGAGGGGAAGAGCGAAGCCGAGCGGGAGTCGCTTTGCCTGGCTGGAGCCGAAGGGAGATGAGAAGGAGAGGCTGGAGCCGGCCCGTCCTGCCGGGCGACGAGGGGAGCGGCGGCGCGGGGCCCGACGGCCGCCGCCCCCGGGGAGCCGTGGCGGCGGAGCGCTCCTCGGCCGGCCAGACACGTGTCTCCTGGCCAGGACCTGTCAGAGCAGGGAGAGCGGGTCCTGATTTATCGCCCGAAACACACACACACACACACACACACACACACACACACACACCCCCGCCCGCCCTCCCCCCGGCCTCGCCTCCCGCCTCTCCCGGCGGCTCGCAGCGTCGCCGAGCTCAAACCAAACCTCCCTCCGGCGGCCGCGGGGCGGCCGCGATCCCGCAGCCCGGCTCTGGGGCTGCGGGACCGGGCACTCTCCGTGGGCAGCATCGCCCCCGCAGCCATGCCCCCGGGACCCCTCTCGGTTCTGGTCGCTCACGCCCCGCCGCTCCCCTCTCGGCCGGGTCCCGGGGGACCGGGGATCAGAGATGGCCCTGGTCCCGCGGTGTCACTCCGCCGCAGTGCCCGTCCGAGGAGACGAAGGCTGCTTGTGGAAGTTGCGGGGGAGCTGTAGGGAGGGCTGAGGGCTCAGGCTGACTCTCACGGGGTGCCGGGGTGCGGGCAGGCTGGGAGCTGCCACAGCACACGAGGGACGGGGCGCAGCCACCGGAGAAAGGGGGGTAAACAAACAAGTGGGATTAGGAGAAGGGCCGCAGTAAAACAAGAGTTAAAAAATAGAGGGAAAGATCAAAGCACTGGGTAAAAGACTCTTCAAATTACACGTTTGAAGCTTTTCCATAATTCCAAGGCGACAGATAGATAACAAGCTGCACATTCCTTATCACATATGGAATCAATCTGAAAGGAGTCTCTTGATCAGAATCTGTTAATTGCAGTGACATATGATTTGGAAAGAAAACACAATTAATGACCCTTCATGTTAAGACTTTGGGACGAGGCCACTGACAATCCGCGCTCTGCAGCCAACGTCAACTCAACTGTTATTGGTAGTAGTAGTACTAGTAGTAGTAAACTATTAGAGGGAAACATTCTCCGAGCCTCGGCGACTGTTCTGTCTCTGTTCTCGTTGCATGTTTCTTTAGAAGGGGGAGGAAAAGAGAAAGGGACACGAGTGTGTGCGTGCCTTTCCTTCAAGGTTTGGGGAGCTAAAATGATTTAGTACCTTGTCTGTAAATCTAATGACCTAAGGTGAGAAAAAATACTTCATCTTTTATTATTACCACTTGTGGTGAGCGTTACCAGGAAACAGCAGAACCCTTTTGAAATCGTAAATATATGTATCCATTTAAAACCCATTATTGCTGAGATTTTCCCAAAGAGAAATAAGGCAAATCTGCCCAATCTCATTTTCTAGCGCCCTCTGTCCACAGCTCCCCTTGGCTCGGCCGCCCCTTCCCGGGCGCTGGGACCGTCGAGCCTCAGCGGAGCCTTCCTGGGTGCTCTGGGTGCTGTGGGTGCGGGGAGAGCCCGCAGGAAGAGTGGGTGCTCCGCGGCTGTTAATGGGCCACGCGTTCTGTAATGTTAGGAGAGGAGGTAGGAACATTTTCAAAAGCTTTACTCTGTCATTAAAAGGTATTGGCTTTGTTTTAGAAGGGGGAGGGAGAGGTTCATTTGAAGGTTAGAAAGCATACACTTTAATAGGATCGAAGTGAAATTAGTTAATAAGAAAATGCTGGCCAGAAGCTCTCCGGGCTTTTAAGTGCTCTCCAGGCCATTTAGGGAAATTGAATAAGAACAGACACCGTTACCTGCAGCCCCAACTATTATCTCCAGTTCTGCACAGAGGCGAGAAGGGAAAAATAGTGCCTGAGAGACCTGAAGTCCCATACACCTCCTGCCAACATATTTCCTCGAGAAATAATGCCCCCTTTCTGCTCGCAGGCGTGTTCTCCTCCTGCCTCTTCCGCTTTTAAGCAGCTCAGGCTTCAGTGTGTACCACAAGGGGGTAAGCAAAGGTAAGGGGCTATCAGCAGATGCCGAGGGCTGCTGGGGCAGCTCTGAGCACAGCCTGGTTACCGCCGGGGCAAGGCTGGCCTCTTGATAGTTTTTTTACCCCTTCTATTTCTCTGACTTTCCCCCCCTCACCATTGTGGTGCTTTGTTGATTTGCGTTCGGATCGTTGCCAGTAGGTCAGTATATTGTGATACCCAACTTCCGATCTGCTCCTTTTCTCCCTGCCTTTAAACTTTATAGTTTTTAGAGATGTTAATAAAATCTTTCCTTTGGTAAATCGTTCATTAGAAACCCCACCGAAACCTGGAAAGACTTCAGAAAATAAAATTAAAAAAAAAAAAACAGCGCTCAGGAATGATAGGTTGGGAAAAGGCTTTTGTCCAAAAACTGCATAATTGCCGTGAATCTTAGGAAACATTAATCTTTATAGGAATTTGTGATTCATATCTGTGGTCTGACCGTTTAGGTGATTTACAGTCTGTTAGTGCAATTCACTAATTTTATGCCAATATATTTTATGCGCCCAGTTAGATTTCCCGTCGCCTATCGGAACGAGTGGCCGGTGTCAGCGTGGCTCTGCGAGCCCGGCGGGGCCGGTCCCGGCGCTGCGCGGCAGCGGAGGAGTGGGCGCAAAGTGCGCACAGATGCGGGAAACTTCCCCTCCACGTTCTCCTCGTCTGCAGCCCCGGCTTTTAGCGTTCGGGCCGGACCGTCCCCACCTTCCTCAGCCGGTGAGAGGATGTCCGCGGCTCCGGAACCGGCTGTAGCGTTTTTTAAACCGAAGCCGAGGGTATCCCGGGGTTCTCGAGCTTTACCAGCGGGTTTAAACCCGGATTATTGCTCCCTGCTGGTCCGTTCCCTAGCACGCCCTCCAGCACGGTGCGGCGGGGAGCCGGTGCCGCCCGGCACCAGTGCCCTGACCGCCCCCTGGGCCGCCACCCTGGGAGGATATTCTGGTTTTCCCCGTGGTTTTCCTCGTCCGCAGCCCACCGGGAGGTGTCTCCCCCCGGGCTGGGGCCGGTGCAGAGCGGGGAGAGGGACGGCTGGAGGTGCCGTGCGTGGAAAATGCAGCTCAAACGACACCTCCGGAGGCTTTCCGTGTGACAGCGAAATGGGGCATTCCTCGCGTGGGGTGTTCCAGCACTCTCCGGCCGCCGCATGGGAGAGCCGGGCATGGGGATTGCTCCGTGTAATTTGTAACTGGGTTTATTAGCTGGAGGGGAAAACACAAGCAAAGAAAAGGAGCAGCAGCTGCGCTGAAGATAACACTGCGCGGAGTCTAATCTTGTGACACAATCATTAATTACTATTGTATTAATTACTATTTTTCCAAAACAGTCCCTTCCCGGAAGAGCTTACAGCCCACATCTGCTGTGTAATGATACTCTGGGTAGAGAAACGATTCCCCCATTAAGTCCCAGGTAGCGTTTACAAATGGCAACACCTACAGTATCAAAGCCCGTCATCTTGCAGCCTGAGATTTTCTGTCCCATCGGCCTGGCTAGGATGATTTTGATGCCGATAAAATACATTTAAATATTAAAGTCTTTATTCGCGTACATATTCTGTCCAAACTTTCAGATCGCGGTGGAGTAACTGCTTTATTCGCTCTTCATCCCACGGATGCTGCCTTATATCAGTAACAAACAAGCATTGATTTTATGGTAAAGTCACTTTGGGATGGGAATGAGTAACTCCAGGCAGTGCTATCACTGTATTACATGGAAATGGCCCAGGTAACAAGATGAACATTGATTCAGCATTATGTTTGATCAATAATGAAATAAGTAACTTCAGGGCCAAATTAAAATGCAAGCTGGCTTAACGCTGCCAGCTTCTGGGCTAAGTGACAAGGCTAATTCAGCAGGGAAATGGCAATATTTGCATTAGAGGCTGCATCTGTTGTTTGGTGGAAGAGGCTGGATCTGCAATAACGCCGGATGGAACTGCAGGGAGCAGGTTTGGGGAGAGCCCCGCCGGTGCCGGGCCGGTGTGTCCGGGCCCTACCGGGGCAGCGCCGTTTCCCTCGGGATACCCTCGACTCCTGGCCACGACACTGGGAAAAAAAAAAACAAAACAAAAAACGAAAAAAAAAAACAAAACCACAAAAACACAAACAACCCTCCCCAAAAAAAACCCTTAACACTTCAGGGCGGTTCAGGCACCCCAGCGCGCTACGGTTGGCGGATAACCAGGTGGTGTTAGCACTTAGCGAAGGAAATAAGCTAACACGCTCTTGTAACCGCCTGGGGGGCGGGAGCCGGGCTGTGCCGCCCCGGCCCGGGGAGCTCCGTGGAGTGTTCTGGAGGTGAGCAAGCGAGGGAAGTGACTGAGCCGATGGGTGAGCATGTGCAGAGCTCCCTGCATCGGCGGCCTACGGCCCGCTTTATCCGCTGTTCCACATCTCTGCTAGCATTATCGGGCACGTTTTGATCCCCAGTAGCTTTTGTCGCCTTCAGCTGGCACCGGGAGGGGGACACGGGGCGAGTCACCGAGCACTAAAACTCGGCTGGGGCGGAAAGTCTGTCAGGTTTAACCCCCAAGTGGAGGTTTGAGGAGGGTCGTGGGAGAGCGGGTCCTGGGCAGCTCCGCCATTCCATACCCAGGAGATTTCTACCACCAGGAGAGCAGTGAGCACCGGGGCTGAGGGGGAAGGGAGTTCAAGGCAGCTGGGAGGGCAGGTGTGTGCCATGAGGAGCGTGTGGGCAGGCATGGAAAGACAGGACAGGCAGCCGGCGTGAGACATAAATTGAGGACACCTGGTACTGGGGTATTTTTCTAAGTTTCAATTTTAAAATGAATGTTTAAACATTTCCTCCGACGTGAGGAAAAAAAGAAAAGGAAGGGCTCTCTCCGCAGAAAAGGAGACATCTCTCAGTGCAGTCCTACTAAGATGAGCGTGCCAGGACCGTGTGTGCTTGTACCCCACGGCTGGAAACTTCCTCAAGGCAGAAGGAGCTGCTCTTGTCACCGGGGAGGGGACCGAGCTGGCAGGAACAGGGGACACCTCAATATGGCCCCGACCGTGGATATTTTTCCACTCTCCTGGCACTGGCGCTGCCACCGGCTCGGTGCAGCCGAGAAAGCTGAGCCCTAAATGGGGCCCAGAGTAGCGAGGTGCGGCTGGAAATAGTGATAAGGAGGGTGAGGGACGGTGCGGGGCGAGTGCGGCAGCGCCGGGGGAGAGACCCGCTCTCCACCCTCCCCAGCCGGCCGGAGCTCGGCACCCGGGCCAGGTGAGGTGGGAAAGGTGAGGAGTGCGTGGCACCTCAGAGGCTTCCCAGGCGGCGGGGCTGAGCCCCGCCTTGGGTGTCGGTGCAGGCCTGGGGTGGGTTTAGGCCAGGCCGAGTGGGAGCCTGGGGCGGGGGTGCAGGCCTGGGGCGGGTTTAGGCCAGGCTGAGCGGAAGCCCGGCCAGCCCCGCGCTGCCCTTGCGGGCGGTGGGATCCCCGCCGGTGTGCAACGCCGCCGGGACAGCCCCAGAGTGTCAGACAGGGAAGGAGGGAGGAAAGGAGCCGCCGGAGCCCCGCCACACACTGGGATCCTTCGGGAAGTGCGGGGTGAGCTGGGCCGGAGCGCGGCTCCCGGCTCCTCACCACAGCCTCGGTGCCCCGGCCTTTGGGACGTGGGGAGGAAAAAAGGGGAGCCGGCGCTGGCGTTATTGCTCTTTCCTCTCCTTAAGGAGGTCAAACGCGATCGTTCAGAGCTATTGATTGCTCCTCGGGCTTGTAGTGATTTGTTAAAAGTAAGTAAGGGCGAGCAGGAGGTGCGGGAACCGCTCCGGGAGAAGCCGTAG